ACCCCTTTGACCACCCCCCCCCCGAGCCCCGCTACTCCTCCGTATCTCCCGCCCTGGCGTGTCCTGCTCCCAGCACGGTAACTGAAGGTACAAAAAGCAGCATCGTTGTCACCTAAGTGATCTGAAAACCTTCCCCTTTCAGACTCCGCGTGATGAGCTATGGCTGGCAGGGGATGTTTTTACCGCCCTCTCACCCAGGCCTGGCAGTTACGGGCCCAGTTGCTTAGCACAGCTAGGCAACGGGGACTAAACGCCCATCACAACAGGAACCTGCCTCTGCTAGGGCTGCTGTCCTTTCACTAAGCACGCTCAGGCTTGTCCTACGGACTCAGCAAATTGTGCCAATTTGGTGATCAAAGACACTAACCGAGAGGTCTCACTTGTAAGGACAATGGGTGGAATCGAACCTGGTACCTCTGGAGCGTAGAACGGGAGCTAAAAACCAGCTGGCCGGTAGCTTGTGTGAGACTCATGAGCTAAGCTCCGGAGGTCGTGGGTTTGATTCTGCCCACAGATGGCTGGGATCTGTCAGTGATACCCTGACCCCAACGGAGCAGGAAACATTTGGCATGAAAGCCTAGTGGAGACACAGCCAAAATGTCACCATTAGACATAAGAGTGAACGCCTTGTTAAAATGAACTGGCTTAGTTCTCTTGTCTCTTAGCTGTCTCCGGCTTCATTCCAGTCACAGCTGGAAGGTTTTGTTTGCAGGCGACAATCTTGCTTTTAAGTCAAATGAAAGCTTGCGTTCTGGAAAGGCGAGATCTGTCCAGCGGGCTGGAGAAATGAGCCCGTTTCTGGCTGGCAGACTGCTTGGTCGGCATTTCTGCTGTCCGGCTCCCCTCTAGTCCCCGAGTGCCTCCGAGTCCCAGCAGGTCTGTTTGACCTCTAATATGGTGCGGGGCTGTGTTTTCTCGGGTTTGCTTTCAGACCACCGTCGTCAGTGTGAGAAAGTGCCACGATTTTCCGACCACCGGCCAGTGGACTGTTGTCACTGAGAGCGACGGGAAGCAAGAATCCGCCACGTTTGATGCCATTTCCCCTCTAGTCCCCGAGTGCCTCCGAGTCCCAGCAGGTCTGTTTGACCTCTAATATGGTGCGGGGCTGTGTTTTCTCGGGTTTGCTTTCAGACCACCGTCGTCAGTGTGAGAAAGTGCCACGATTTTCCGACCACCGGCCAGTGGACTGTTGTCACTGAGAGCGACGGGAAGCAAGAATCCGCCACGTTTGATGCCATTATGGTTTGCATGGGTCACCACATAGAATCCCACATCCCGCTGCAGTCTTTTCCTGGTAAGATCTGGGGGGCACGTGGGGTCCAGGCTAACCAGCTGCAGAAGCAGGAAGAGCGAGTAACAAAGGTTTTCATCCCTGCATTGGAGTGTGAGTGTTTGCCTCACTGCCCGACCCGTTAACGACGTGCCTGGATCGGATTATTCCTGCTTGTCTCTCTTGAGACGTTTGTGCTTTAAGCCAGGGGAGGGAACCTATGGCCCCAGCCCTCCTGCAACCGATTCTTCTTTTCTCTGCTTGCTCTCCTGTTCTGTCGCTTCTCTTCGCCTTGACAAATCGCCGTCCCACTGTTTACATCGCACACATTCTCATCCTCGCCAATCTTTTCAGACCTTCCCGGGAAAGCACAGGGTGGGACGTGTTTCTTGTGGACCAGGGCCTGGTTCTGTATCTACTGTAGCTAAATGGTTTTCTCCTGGGACCCAAGTAAAATTCATCATCGGTCATCGGGAGGTAGCTAGACCGTGGAGTGGCTTGGTCAAACATACCAGGCATGCTCACATGTTTGCTCCATTCTTAACACTTGGCACGGGCCAGCTGGCATCCCAATTAACTCTCTGAGAGTGAGACATGACTGCAGACAAAGGACTCAGACATCTACCGCAATGAGGGTATGTTTGGTGCAGCTATGGCGTTGGGGGGCACCTTTCTGTTCCCCCAGTTCTGGACCAAATGAGGAGCATCACAGCTCTGGGGGTAACTTAGAGCCGCTGTGTTATGTCACCCACACTCGGTGCTCTGTCCTGCCCCAGACGGCCCGCCCCCACCTCCAAAGAATGCTGTGGAGCGTGGGAGGGAGATATTCAGTCTTTCCGATCAACATTCATCCTCCTCGCTGTAGGAACTACACTCAGCCCACTGTGTCCATGAGCGAAAGATCCTGCTCCCCACTGAAAACCTACCTCAAGTTTTGTTTCTAGACAAATCTACGTGTTTCTAGATCTAGATGGTTGTTTCTCGCGTTTCTTTCTAGACTTATCTAGAAGTTTGTTTCTAGGTCTATATGTTTGTGTCTCGTTGTTTCTGGACATACCTAGATGTTTCTAGAGCTAGATGGTTGTTTCTAGACTTATCTAGAAGTTTGTTTCTAGGTCTATATGTTTGTGTCTCGTTGTTTCTGGACATACCTAGATGTTTCTAGAGCTAGATGGTTGTTTCTAGACCTATCTAGATGCCTTCTGAAGCTGAACACCCTACATCTCAATGTCTCTAAACTGTGGGAGGGGGCAAGAGAGTTGCAATGCACTCTTGGAGCTGAATTTTTCTGCATAAGCCTCCAAATCAACTGACATCCCCACAAAATGTGCAGCCGCACGCCCCAGAACTGGAAGATGCTCCCAATCTGGAGCTGAGGGTACGTCTACACTACAACCAGGGCACAGCATGTGTAGACGGACTCCAGTTAGCTCAAAGCTAGATGGAGTAACTCTCACCGTGACACCCTGGTGACCCCAGGGGTAAGCCCTGCCCCACTTAGGCTGCTGGGTACAATCACGTAGGGTGTGTCTAGACTACAGGGTTTTTTCGAAAAAACTTCCCCTGAATCTAGACTGCTGCTGCGTTCTTTCGAAAGTAAATGGAAAGAACGCAGCAGTCTTTTTGACTGCCGAGAACCTCGTTTTACGAGGAAGAATGCCGTTTTCGAAAGTGCTCTTTTGAAAAAAGGCGCTGTGTAATGCAAACCGCTTTTTAGAAAGAGAGCATCTGGACTGCCTGGGTGCTCTCTTTCGAAAAAGCGGCTTGCTTTTTCGAAAGTACTGCTTGTAGTCTCGACGCGCTTTTTCGAAAGAGGCTTGCAGTCTAGACGTAGCCTTGCTGTCTCTCTGCGCTGATTCCCATCCTTCCTTCTCTCCTAGGCATCGAAAAGTTCAAGGGCCAGTATTTCCACAGCCGGGAGTACAAGACGCCGGAAGGGTTTCAAGGCAAGACCGTGGTGGTGATAGGCATGGGGAACTCTGCGTCGGATATTGCTGTGGAGCTCTGTCAGACAGCCAAACGGGTAGGGTGACTCTTCCGGCTGCCTTTGTGCCTCGGGGGGAGGGCTGTGGAAAGCAGGAGTCCATATACTGCATCCATAACGGACCCGGATGCAGTACAGAGACTTGTTAAATGGAGCCAACGCCCAGAATACACCCCATCCCCGGTACTGACGCCCAAACCTTTGCTTCTCTGGAGCAGGAAAAAAGGCCTCTAAAGACTGATTGTGATTATTGTGATTGGTGGTTTGTTCCCTGTATTTCAGTACCGCAGTCGTGGTCCCATTGTGCTAGGCGCTGTACACACCAAACAGTAGTGCATTCCTAACCAGCCGGCAGTTGAAAAAGACAAGCTGGACAAAGGGTGGGGAAAAAGAACTACCCATTGTGTGGATGGGAAGAAAGCCCCTGTTTATCCCCATTGTACAGATGGGGAAACTGAGGCACACACAGGTTAAGTAATTTGCCCACCGTCACAAAGGGAGCCAAACCCAGCTGTCCCGAGTTATACAAGATCTCCCTTCCTTTGAGCCCGGTACGTCTGGGATCAGCCTCCAAAAGCAGTCTCAGGAGGGTGTCTTTTCCCACCACTCACCCCCGCCTCTGTTCTGAGACACTGGCTGGGATTTGCAATGCAAACATTGTGCACGCAGTGGCAGACGGTTCCTGTTTCAAGTGGAATTCTCCGATGCCCTGTAGGTGACCCTCAGCACCCGAGGAGGCTCGTGGGTTATGAGCCGGGTGTACGATGACGGCTACCCCTGGGACACCATATTTCACACCCGCTTTAGCAATCTGATCAGAAGCGTCCTGCCGTGGCCCCTTTTGAAACGGGTGTACGAGCGGAAGATGAACACGTGGTTTAACCATGAAAACTATGGCTTGGTGCCACTGAACAGGTACACGCTTGTCCCGGGCTGCTGGTCTGTGGGTAGCTGGGGAGGGAACAGACACAGAGCCGTGCCATTATGACGGAGGGCAGAGGTTGTCCTCACCCACCCCTTACTCGGGCTAAACTCTGACTGAAGACAGGCCTGGCCAGACTAGATCAGACCCAAGGTTCCTCTGCCCCAGTCTCTCTCTGACACTGGCCAGGACCTTGTGCTCCAGGGGAAGTGGCAAGAAACTCTGTAGCGAGCAATTGCAGAACACATTGCGTACGGACGCATTTCTTCCTGTCCTCCAGCACGTCGTGGTTAGATTGTGCCCTGAAGCATGCGGGTTTAGAACCCTTAATGTATTGTATCCCGCACATCCGGGTCTTCTCCTAATCCACATGCACATCATTCTTTTTATAACGCTGCAGAAGATCAACCCCCCCAATCTTTAACCCCTCCACGCCCCAAAAAACAAACAAACCTGGGACGGTTTGAAGTGTGGCTCCAGCGAGGACAAGTCGGGCCCATCTCTGCTTAAAATGCCAGGAAAGGACCCAAGATCAAAACATGTTCATTCTCCAGTCAAAGAAACGCTGGGAGCAGAGAGGAGGAGGGAGTGGTAAAGACGGGTGGTCTATTTTATATGAAATCAGTTCTCTCCTTGGCAGGTTTTCAAGGCCGTCTTTAACTATGTGGAAAATGCTCTTGGGAAGCCAAGTCCTGCCAGGAAAGCGCAAATATTTATTCTGATTTCATAAAACAGTTGATTAAAATATTTCGATGTGGGTAAGAGTTTGGCACGCCCAGGAGAAGAGTGCAATGGGTTAGATCCGTAGCATTCATTTCCTCTGAGCGCCGGAGGAAATGCAGCCATTTAAACAGAAATGGTCAAAAAAGTCTCCCTTGGATTGCCTTAGTTTTGGGGAGCAGGTCGGCCTACAATGCCTCCGTCCTGGCTTTCAGGCCTGTAAACTCATTTCCCTCAGAACTGTGGGTGCTCTGCCCCCCCTAGAAATCAGAATACGTCACATTTGTGGCGGCTTGAAACTTTTGAAGAGAGCACAATTCGGTGACACTCTAGTACTGGGCCCAGCTGCCCTATGACAACAGGGATGACAGTGTGAAAGGCGTATTACTAATGTGCTGTTTCTACCCCACACTTCTTGGCTAAGCGCCATTGATGGACCTAACCTCCATGAATTTATCTAGTTCTTTCTTGAACCCCGGTAAAGTCCTGGTCTTCACAACATCCTCTGGCGAGGAGTTCCACAGGTTGACTGTGGCTTAGTGAAGAAAAATTTCCTTTTGTTTGTTTTAAACCTGCTACCTATTGATTTCATTTGGTGACCCCTAGTTCTTATGGTATGCGAACAAGTAAATATTTTTTCCTGATTCATTTCATCCATATCTGTCATGATTTTATAGACTTATATCATATCACCTCTTAGCCGTTTCTTTTCTAAGCTGAAAAGTCCCAGTCTTTTTAATCTCTCTTCACTGAGCACCCATTCCAAACTCTGCATCATTTTTTCTTGCCCTTTTCTGAATCTTTTCCAATGCCAATATATCTTTTTTGAGATGAGGCAACCACATCTGCATGTGGTATTCAAGATGTGGGCGTATCATGGATTTATACAGAGGCTATAAGGTATTTTCTGTCTTCTTCTCTAACTCTTTTTTAATGACTCCTAACATTCAATATGCCAGATCTAGCGAAAGGACTAACAGCTTCGCTACAGCTGGCACACTGCAGGACCTGTGGCACTTGGTCCTGGCACCCCTCTGGTTGTTTAGGAGAGCGAGGATGTACCAACGTTGCCCGGCAACCCCCAACCAGAGGCCTCCACCATCTTGTTTCCTCCCAGAGCCCTGATGAAAGAGCCTGTGTTCAACGATGACCTTCCAAGCCGCATCCTGTGTGGCAGCGTAGCGGTGAGGCCCATCGTGAAGGAGTTCACCGAGACCGCCGCCATCTTCGAAGACGGGACGGTGGAGGAGAACGTGGACGTTGTCATCTTTGCCACCGGTTACGGCTTCTCGTTCCCTTTCCTGGAGGAGTCCGTCATCAAAGTGGAAAATAACGAGGCCCCGCTCTACAAACACGTCTTCCCCCCGAAGCTGGAGAAGCCAACACTGGCGGTCATCGGCCTCATCCAGCCGCTTGGGCCCATCATGCCCAATGCAGAATTGCAGGCTCGCTGGGCTACACGAGTCTTTAAGGGTAAGTGGGCAGGCTTCTTATGATACCTGCATGCATGGGGGCCAACGGCTTCTATGGGCCCCCGGGCAAGGTGTGGGGGCGGAGACTTGAGCAGAAGGGGTGGAGACTTGAGTGGACAGGGCGGGGACTTGGGCGGAAGGGGCGGAGACTTGAGCCAAAGGACAGGGCCAGGACATCAACCCGGACCATGGTATTGGAGCTCCCATAGCAAAGTCCGATGGCAATTTAAAGCGGCCCAAGGCTCCGGCCACTACCACAGTAGACCGGAAGCACCAAGCCCCTTTCAATCATCAGTTGCCCCATTTACAGGCCTGCATGCATACTAATCGCCAGCAGGGTGAACATGTAAAGTCATGTGACCAGAGTTAGCCTTAAGTGGGCCCCACTGCCACTACAATCAGTAGGACTGCCCGTTGCATCGGGGTTCAACTGAGCATCTGGCTTCTGCGGCAAGGCGTTTTGTGCTTGATTTTGGAGAGGAAAGCTCCATGGGCGTGGAGGACGGGGAGAGAGTGGTGAAGGCGCCCCAGGCAGGTTCAAAAGACAAAGGTTCCACTGCTCAGTGAGCCAGACACCTTAACGTCCCTCGTTACACGTTCACTCTGCCGCTTTGGGTTTATTTTGTTTAACAGTGAGGGTGACGAATAGCTCTGGTCTAGCTCAACCACAAGCTATGGGCTGGAGACCAGAATCAGAAAGCGACATTCTCCGGTCAGGGTGACGAAGGAGACGTGACAAGATATCATGGGGATCCTGTCAGCCGTAACATGTTTTCCTCTCTAATGTAGCTTGCTGCCAGAGATCTGAAAGCAGGGCTGGTGATCTTACCCCAGAGTCTCAGCGGGGGAGCCGTGTTAGTCTGTATTTTTAAAAAAGGATGCATTCTGTGGCCCCTGAGAAACTAACAAATGTATTAGATCATGTGCTTTCATAGGTAAAACCCACCTCATCAGATGAGTTGGAGCGGAAAATGCACAATCCAAGGTATACATATATAATGCTGCTAAGCTACATTGACCTTCCGTGGTTCAGCAAATTCTCTGGTTGTGAACCAGTCAGGTCCTCAGGGTGCCAGCCTAGAGAGGTTCAACCTGTAGAATTCCTCCTTATTGGGATGGTCTCTGTAAACTTACAAGGACTTCTCTGGAAAGTATCCTGCATTTTCAAGGTGCTACCTAAACAAAAGCTGACAGCAGCGCACTACAGAGCATGTCTTATCCTTTTCATCTAACATTGGAAGGGAAAGGTGGAATTAGAGGAGCAGAAAAAGCTTTTCTTCCTCTCCGGAACGTTTAATAATTTAAACCCAATGCCTCACGGAGGAGGTCAGCTGAAAAAAACACATTGTCTTGGATTTCAGCCATCCGTAAGCTAGGATTTGCTATTTACATGTAACACAAGCTTCTGGTCGAACAGGACGGCTCTGTTGTCATGTTTAATGAACATTTCTGAATGCACAGAAGCCTGGATCCACCAAGGTACTGCCCTGGAGTGAAGGGAAGTTAGGAGCTTACATACCCAGGGGGAAGGGCCTCAGAGACCCCAAGCTGAATTGAAGCCAGATGCCACAGGGGCAGATTAAGTGAATTTCTCGTGTCATGGTCCCCATGGAAAAACTGGAGCAGCATGATGGAGAATTGAGTCCTCTTCCCTGTTGAGGCCGTGGCAAAGCAACACTTCCACGCGTTTGTCGTAGAACGTGAAAATGACTTTGATGTAACAGACCAGGGCAGGAAACTTCCCAACCCCAGATCTGAACTTGGACGCCTGGGTCCCCCTGTAATTCTCAATACTCAGTCATAACAGCTGCTTTCACTTTCTAGGGCTGACCCAGCTGCCCTCGGAGAGCACCATGATGGCCGACATTGTCAAGAGGCGAGAGAAGAGAATCAAGTGGTATGAACCATCCCTTGATTAATATTACGAGTCTCCCCTCGACTTGGGAGCCACTGCTGCGTAGAGAGGAATTGGTGTTTCTCCTCCTCTTCGCACTCTGCACGGGGTCATACGGGAAGTCAAAGGGAGAGTTTCTTCCATCAACCTCCTGCTGTGAGGACACCACAGAAATCTGGCTTAAGGTACATTGACTCCAGCTACGCAATTCTCGTAGCTGGAGTTGTGTATCGTAAGTTGACTTTCTCCTTAAGTGTGGACCTTGGCGCAGGCTTGCCAAATGCTTTGGGCAGGATGTGTGCGGCTGCAGAAACAGTTCGTAACCAGCTGGCGCCATGGTTCAGTACATGGGCCTTGTTCTCTGCAAAGCTGGGTCTGCAGGCTTTGGGGCATACAATGGACGTGGCTCACCAACCCGTTACAACAGACCCCTTTTCGTTCTTTCTCCTCAGGTTCGGCACCAGCCGCAGCCAGACGTTGCAGACGGATCACATCGAATATCTGGATGAGCTCGCCGAGGGCGCGGGGGCGAGACCCCGAATCCTTCCGTTGCTCCTGAAGGATCCCAGACTGGCCCTGACCATGTACTTCGGCCCCTGCAGCCCCTTCCAGTTCCGCTTGACCGGCCCGGGGAAGTGGGACGGAGCCCGAAATGCCATCTTGACCCAGAAGGCGCGGATCATCAAGCCCACAAGAACCCGGGAGGTGCGCGGTTCCTCAGACCATGCCCTGGTTTCCTATTGGCTGGCCGTCCTTGGTCTCCTTGCTCTCTTGGCTGCTGTCTTTGTCTGTCTCCAGTAGGCCGCGCTCTGCGATGTATCAGGTCCTCTGAGATGTGATGTGATGCTCCCTAGAGAAGCCTTTCCCTTGAAAATAGCAACCTCCTGGCCATACACCAGACCGGGGGTCCCATCCAGACAGGGGCTGAGCACCTGCAGCTCCTGACTGGCGCTAACACACCCTGTGGGTGCGCATCATCACTCTTTAAAATCAGCCCCTTTGATTGGCGCTCGTTAGCAAAGCTGTGGGTTACGATTTTTCAAAGCAGGGTCAGACGGATAGTCAGATGGTCTTCTCTGGGCCTTCTCTCCGGTCCGGAAGCTCCTGTTTCAACTCACAGGAAGTTGTGTTGCTAAATGTCTGAGTCTGCTTTACTTTGAGCTGCGGACATGGGCTCTGTCTAGTGCTGAGGGCTTGTCTAGGCACATAAATGGTGCCCTTTTGCAGTGCAGACACCGCAATCTCAGGACAACCCTCAGCACAGACGCGCTTTAATGGAGTAAGCCACCTCTATGCCTCTATTGCTGCTTCATATATATAGGAAGGGGGATAATCAATATTGTTATCCCCACACTGGGGGTTGTGCTGTTATCGCTGTTTTAATCGGCAATTGCTCCGGTACCAACGCCGTTCTACGGGTACAAAAGCTGTGAGGAGACTGATTCCCACAACCTCCCCATTTCCTGTTTGAAAGGCAGAAAGACAGACCAGACCGTTTTTATAAGCCAGCAACTACAGGCCAGGCCCTGTCAAGACCCAAGATGTGTCTGTGTCCTGCTCCGCCGAATATATGAAAGTGAGGCCTACCCTGTAACGTTTCTAGCTGCCCATTTAGCTCGGGCCTACAGTTGGACCTGAGGTGGAGCCTCAGTCAACCCTACTCAGCCTCAATCAACCCCAGTTCAGAAATCTCAACACTGAGAGAGGTAGAAAGAGAAGGGGCCGGGAGGAGATTTCGAAAGCCCTTGGCATTGGCCTAACTCTTCCCGCCGAGGTCAAGGCTAAAACTTCCATCCCGCACAAGGTGACTGCTCAAAGGCCTCACAATCCAGGGCGGACGTCCTGGGAGTTCTAAGACCCAGCCGAAGCTCACCTTCCATTGAACCCCCATTAGCTTTGTCAGTCAAGAAACACCTCGTTGACCTACCTACGGGGCTGCCCCCATCTCTGCAGAGACACATTCGTGGGAATGACAGGCGTAGGATAAGTCTTGCAGTCGGTTCTCGCCTTTCCATGACTCATGCGCAACGTTGCCAGCTGCTCGGCCTGCTGGGTAACTTGCTTCTTGTTTACTGAGAAAAGAGACAACAGCTTGAGTCAGTCATCGACTAGCTCGTTCAGAAAGGAGGTCAGATTCTCGGGTGATAGAAACGCCTGGTGTAGCTCCTTTGAAGTCAATGGAGTCTCTGGCCCACAGCTTTCACAAAAGCAATATTTTTGTTCGCGTTGCGTTAGGCACGCTACAACCGAGACGGAGGGGGAGGATTTTTCAGTGCAAATTTCTCTCTCTGGTGGCTCGTAATGAATTGTTTACAGGCTGAAACCTGGCAAACTCCCGGCTCAGTTTGGAAACATGCTTTTGGCGAGCTTGGAAACTGTCGGTTTGCCCCCGCACCACCACCTACTTTTTTTTAAACACAAGTTCATCGGTGTTCAAGAGGCATTTGAGGAGCACTTTGTTTTTAAGTGTAAAGGGAGGTGTACTTAGTGGCTGGGGGGGAGGGGCGGAATTATTTCGATTCTTAAAAAATACGCACATTTTCAAATGGACTGCTGACACCTACTGACCGATGTGTGTGATTTTTTTGCCATATTCACCCGCTTGCCAATAACACTTTCAGAGTGCCAACAAAACACTGCTTTCCAAACAGCTGCTCTTTGCCATTATATGCTTAGAGCCACCATCTTGCGTATAATGCTTATCGGCTTTGAAGGGAGCTTTTTACGCTGTTTTTAAAAGAGGGAGCTCATGATACCATCTACATGTTTTAAAGTGCTACTAGGCTATTTGGTGTTTTTGTCTGAAAAGGTGTTAGATTAGGAGAGAGAATGGGAGACCTTCACAACTGAAGGTTGCTTGCATAACTTTCATGTATCTTTTTCTGCACCCTGGTGCGAAGGGCCTGAATCTTATGAAACAGCCATTTGATCATGGCTTTTTTTTCCCCCCTTTGTGTTGAAAGAATAGAGGGCTAAAAACTCTATATTTGAGATTTTAAAACTCCATTTCAGCAAGTTAAGAACGACAGTCCCCATAGAAACGCCGGCCTTAGCCACGCAGCGGGTTACCCCGAATGTAACGAACAGCGTGCGTTTAAACGGACCGAGCCACACGGGAAGGAGTGGCTCCGTTTGGTTCAGCTGAAATGGATTAGGCAAATGCTAACGTGAGGAAGCAAAACCAAAGTGAGCCCTTTTCGAGCCCGAGGGGCGTGGGGTGGGCTCATCAAACCGGTTTAATTAAGCCCTTTCCAGGCTGTGGTAAACAAGGCCTTTCGCTCCGCCCCCTCGAGCAATGCAGAAAAGTCGAAAGTTTCATGATCACAGGATACTACTTGCATTACTAGCACCGACGAGGGAAGGCCTGCGCCGCGAGCTTTAGCAAACACAAACCTGCTTCTCCTAGTCCCGCTGGGACCGATGGCCGTCAATGGTGCACCTGGCCCGTTGCAAGCTGCCAGCTCTGTCCCGAGGTACCGAATGCACAAGCAATAAAGTGAATTCCTCTGCCCACCGCGCATGTTGCTCTTTATTACAAGGGTTGCATGAAATATTTGCCATCCAATGTGGGGCAAAGCATCTATCTCTACGGGACTTTCAGGGAGTGCAGCTCTCACAGACCGGGAAGGGGTGAAGGCACCCGGGGAGGCCTAGAAACTGCCCAGGTAGTTCCTGGAGGGCGAGCGGGGAACAGGCAGGAAGGGGCAGGCCTGTCTAGCTGGCTGCTGGGGTATTCCAGCCATTCCGGGAAGGGGGAGCAGGGTTGGAGCTGCTCTGCCCAGAGCAAGGAGGGAAGCCAGGAAGACGGGAGGCGGCCGGCCCAGGGAGGCAGGGTCGGATTGACCTTCTGTGGGCTGGTGCCAAAGACATTTCAGGCTCCCACCGACACCGTCACGGCCCCTCAGGAGCGGCACAGTCAGCCGGGCCAAAGCAGGAGTGGGGCCTGCCCAGGCTGGACTCCATCAGGACCCACTTGCCTAGGGGGCCTGGCTACCTGCCCACACACAGACCTGAGACCAGCCCGGCCTCTGCTCCTGGGCTGGGCCCGGGCAGAACTCCATGGGCGGGGGGAAGCAGAGCCAGAGCTATGCTGGGGAGCAAGGCAGAGCCCGGGATGTGACCCCCCCAAGGGCCCAACCAGCCACGCCCAGCAGCCCTGCTCAGCCCACACGGGGGAGCCTGACTTCTAGGCAGCGGGACCCCGATGGCTGAGCCGACCTGCTGGCTGGGTGCTGCCTGCCCTGGCCACGTGGACGGGCCCTTCCCAGCGTGGGCCCGGCCTGCTGGCACCGCTGGACCCCCAGTACTGCAGGGTGAGAGAGTAAATCCCAGCGCGGCTGAGGTGACAGTCCCCGGACTGGACCCTGCAGTGGGGGCGGGCCCGGTGCCCTTGCCAGCCGCCGAGGGCACGGCATTGACCGGCAGGGCACTGAACGGCAAGATGGCCGACAGCGAACCAAAGGGCTGTCCCCAGAGCGGGGGCCACACTAGGGACCATGAAGCAGCTCCCAAGAGCGGGGAGGGGGAGCTGCCTGCAGGAAAGGGCGTCCACCTCCCGTGCACCCCCCCAAGTGACTGGGAGGAGGCGCCAGACAAGCAATAGGCGCTGCCCCCCATAGGAGAGGCTGGAGCGAGATAGCTCCTTGCTGTTGCTTGGCCTCCCTCACTAGTTCACGCCTCTGCCCTCTTCTCTTTTCGCCACCCAGTCCTCCCCCTTTTCCCTCCCGCCGCCGGAGCAAACCTGAGGAGCTCCACCCAGGCCTGGAATGGAGCCTTCCCCCTCCCGAGGGAGGAGCAAGGAGGTGCCCCCGACCTCCCCTCCCTGCCCCGAGTGAGGGGAGGCGAGAGGCGAGGTGGTTCCCCGACACGGGGAACGCGCTCTGAGGAACAAGGAACGCGAGGCCTGGCCAGGAGTGCGAAGCCTGCGCGTTGCTACCTTCTGGTACGTGGTGCGTCTGAGAAAGCGGCCGGCGACTGGCCCAAGCTGAATATGTAGCTAGACCGCCTGAAGCCAGAGCCCTTCGGCCTGACACTGACGCCGACTGGTGGAAGACGCGGGCGGAGGTTTCCTCTGTACCCGCTCAAAAATAAACACTCTAGTCAGCTGGAGCCACGACCACAGAACCGCCTTCCTCCCTCACACAGTACCCCCCTCTCCGACCAGTTACAGCTATTCACCGCCGGAATGCACGTCGACCCGAACGGTCCCGCCGAGTGCCGGATGGGACGCCGTCAAGCGAAGCGCTAACCGATTTTGCAGGGTTTTCAATCCTCCCAGGACAGGCCACCTTGCCTGACACGGCATTCCCTGCACAGGGCTCTGGAAGCTGCGGCGTAGTTATTTCTAGGCGCTGGCTCTCCCCCGCAGCAGCAAACGCCCCTCTCGCTGCTGCTGAAAAGGAGCCGTGCTCCAGATGGAAAAAGTTACTCCGGTGACCTGTGCGCTAACCGATTTTGCAGGGTTTTCAATCCTCCCAGGACAGGCCACCTTGCCTGACACGGCATTCCCTGCACAGGGCTCTGGAAGCTGCGGCGTAGTTATTTCTAGGCGCTGGCTCTCCCCCGCAGCAGCAAACGCCCCTCTCGCTGCTGCTGAAAAGGAGCCGTGCTCCAGATGGAAAAAGTTACTCCGGTGACCTGTGCTTAGCCCGCTAATGCTCAACAGACTGGCCAGCGGGAGGAATGCTGCTTCTAACCAGCTCTGCCTGCAGCGCCGTGCCACAGAGAAATAAAACATTTCCGTTTTTACCCTGCTCCTGCAATGAAAAGCAAGCAGTCAACTTAAAATCCAACCTGGGTTTTTTTAATGAGTTAAAAGTAGATTCTGATAATGGCCAGGCCTTTAATCTGCCTGCCGATTCCCTCCCCGCGCCCAAATCCCAGCTCTTCTTCACCCGGTTTTCTCTCTGTGTAACTGAGAGAGACACTGATACAAAATAAGGGAAAGCAAAGCACCGGCCTGGTTAGAGCAAAACCACACGATCATCTATGTGCGCACAGCACCTCGCACAATGGGTGCTCAAAGGCGCCACGGTAATATTCACGATGGATAATAATTACCCAAGAAAACAGTGGAATCGACGAGACTGCATTGCTAGAATCAGTCCATGTGTTGTGGCGAACTCTGTTTAGTGCCAGATGTGGTGAGGGGGCTACCACCATTCCAGTCCACGTCACACGCCGATCATTTTATAGACGTCTTTCCAAGCTCTGGTCTGCACTAGGGAGTTATCTGGAAACAACTCTCCTTCTTTCGAAATAGCAAGCGGCGCGTCCACGCTACCAAGCACATTACTTGGAAATAACGGGCTAGTTATTTCGAAATACAGGCAGTCCCCGGGTTACATGGATCCGACTTACATCAGATCCCTACTTACAAACGGGGTGAGACAACCCCGCACTAGCTGCTTTTCCCCCTAGCAGACCAGGGAGACACGAAGCTAGTGCCCCACCCAGCAGACCAGGGAGACACGGAGCGGCTTTTCTCAGCAGACACCTCAGCTTGAGAATAAAGGACTGAGGGAAGTGAGGTGTAGGAGAATAAAACTGAGCTCTGGAGAAATGTTTGGCTAGAGTTTCCCCTACAATATGTACCAGTTCCGACTTACATACAAATTCAACTTAAGAACAAACCTACAGTCCCATTTCACAGCAGGAAAGATCAAAGAGCACTGGTGAACATTAGTGCACACCGAGGCACCAATTAGTTTCAAAATAAGTTATTCTGGAATAATTTCCTAGTGTCGACACATGCCCCTCGTTACTACCATCTGTATTTCTTGCATGTAAGGACCAATTCCTTTGCAGGCTCCGTAAGGCAAGTCCATCCAGAGAGGGAACGTCTGCCTACGGTGTTTACAAGAAACGTACACACAATTGTTAGTTTAGTTCAGCGCTTCTCAAAATGAGGTTCGCAAGCCGCAAGTGGCTGTTTAATGTGTCTCCTGCAACTCTTCGCAGCACATGACATTAAACTACTGTGCAACGGAATGATTGGCCGATCGGGATGCTTTTGTGATGCTAGGAAACAGTTATAATGGATGAAATCGGCATAGCTGCTCTGTTATTTGCTGTGCGGATAATTATATATAATTAATTTCCCTGTCATGTTGTTTAACTATGTAAACAGACTTAATCTCTCTCTCTCTATATTTTAGAGTGCGTATGTCTGTCTGTGAGTCCGTTTGCAAGAACTCCTCCTCAACGGGAAGAGCGAGGGCCACCAAATTTTTGGTTGTCGACTTCTTCTTCTCCTAACTGAAAGCAAAGTCAGGGTTTGGTGGTGCCAGGACAACCGGAAGCCCTGGAAAGGGACTGTTTTCCACCACATGCAAAGGGAGGGGCTGCTGTTTGGAGGGACGTGGCCACTGGGGGCAGCTGTACCACCAAGGGAGTGGTACATCTTGGCTACCAGCACACCAGTAAATAACCCTCCTATCCCGAACCCTTTCCCCCTCTCCCGGCCCCTCGCTGCAGCTCTGGGGGGCGGGGGGGAAGCCCACTGGCAGCTGGGGGGAGAAAAAAGGCCCCTGATGGCTGGTGGGGGGACTTGGGGGAAAGAAAGGGCTCGTGCTGGATGGGTCCCCCCCACCTTGAGCCCCTCCTCATCCCCCAACCTTCCTTCTTTCAGCCCCCCTCTACTCCCAGCCTCCTGCATTGCTCCCCCCCTTCGCCCCGCTAGCCCCCTGCCCTGGATGCCAGGCAAGCCCACTAGCCCGTACTGTAAATGAGCCCGTGAATTCACACCGCTGTGGCCCTTTTGGCTAGTGCTGGTCAGTCACTTGGCCCTGAAGCACTGAGGTCTGAGGGTCCCTGGTTTCGTTCGTTTCTGCCTCTTGCTCGCGGTGAGCCTATTCCTCAGTTCGGTGTTTCAGCAACACCTGCTAAGCGAGCCCCAAGAAGTGACGTGTTCTGGGGCGCGTTGGCTTGGGCCTGTTCACGTCAGCGGCGCCCACCTGACAGTACGCAGGAATCCTGGCTTCTGGCTCTGCCACTGAGCTTGTTGTGAGACCTTGGGCAAGTCGCTGCGCCGTGCCTCAGTTTCCCCACGTGCTGGTTCTCACCCTCCTTTGCAAACTGCTTTAAGATGCAGGCTTGAAAAGTCCCATGTCAGTGGCTGGCAGCTGAGGATTCCAGCCTCACGGGAGACCTTGCTGGAAAACGGTTGCAAACGACGAGCAAAGCACGCCCTCTGGCGTTGGGAAACCACGCCCTCAGAGTAGCCGGGGTGGGGGGTTGATTTTAATCCCTGCCACTGGGTTTACCCAGCCCTGGCTGTAAACATGGGCATGGAGCGACCTGCTTCCCTGTACGTGGGCAATTAGTTCTGCATTCTCCTCGCTTTTTAGACTCGTGGGTCACTTCTCTGTGTGGGCGCCTTTCACGCGGGCTGCCTTCCTGTAGGGAGCTTGTGGGCCAAGGGGAAGAGCCGCACAGTCAGTCTGCCAGATGGTGGTTTTGGCCCGCAATGATGTTTCTTTTAACCCTTCAGCCCCCTGCAGGTGGGCTGCAAAGTGCACCGCTGACTGTGATATGGCGCCGCACGTGAAATACTCGAGTTTATCCACATGCCCTGGGGATGCTTCTCCACAGGGATCTGCGTGAGCCTCCCCTCTAATCCGTTTGTGCCCCCCACTCGAGATCCATGCAGCAAGTCCCCCCACGGTCCCTCACAAGCCGCCCTGATCCTGCAAGAGACCTTCATTGAATAGCAGGCATCATTTCTGACGGGCCGGCCGTGCCTAATGCCAGCCTCTTACACGGGACTTCTCAAGCCCTGGTTTTGTTCAACTGGAACTATTTTGGGGGAAAGTGGGGGGGTGTGATACGGGTCAGACAAGATGATCACAGTGGGCCCTTCTGGCCTTGAAATCGATGAAGCTGTAACGATTTCTGCCTTGAATGTGTTCTGTAGGGCCGGGCCACTGTCCACCAATCAGTGACCACTCATGGCGCCAAGATGTTGTTCTGCCGTGACTTCCCAGGGCCAGGTAACTCTCCAGTCCGAAGTCCTGGCGTTGTCGAGACTCTAGGCCCAGCAACCGGATCTTCTGAAATAGGCTCGGAGCAAGAGACTTCAAAGTCAACCCGTGTTGGTGTGTCGATTACACAGATTCAAGCCATTTCAGCAACGGGGAAAACTGGCGGCCGGCTCAAAGGGTAGAAATGTCAAAGGCTCCAAAAATCACATTGTGTAAATACTGAGACCACAGAATAAACAAGCAGAAAATAAACAAGACAAAGAGCAGAGATTAGAGCTTTGTATAGACACTGCAGGGAGGGGCCCATGTAAATCTAGGATCACTTCATTGATTTCCACGACAAGCAGGATTTGGCTCAGGCAAAATATTAAATTACACAGATGCTAAGATGTTGATAGATACTGAGGTCAACATAAGCTTGAGTTAGAACTTGATTTAGTTTCAGCTACACCAGACTAACACAGCTAGGGTGTGTCTAGACTACATGCCTCCTTCGACGGAGGCATGTAGATTAGCCAGATCGGCAGAGGGAAATGAAGCCGCGATTAAAATAATCGCGGCTTCATTTAAATTTAAATGGCTGCCCCGATCTGCCGATCAGCTGTTTGTCGGCAGATCGGGGCAGTCTGGACGCGACGCGCCGACAAAGAAGCCTTTCTTGATCGGCACAGGTATGCCTCGTGAA